GCCTGCCCGGGGGTGCTGGGGGCTGCCGCGGGAACGCCTGGCTCCCCCAGCGCAAAGTGACTACTGCAACTAACTCGAGGTTGGGACTACTTCTTGGAGGATGCCCTGTGTATCTCCAGTCACTCCTCTCCGGCCTCACCGCAGAATATTGGGAGTCGCTCGCCCACCCCTGCCGAGGGGGGACAGAGACACAGGCCTCCAGAGGGTTAAGTGCATCTGCCTTTACGCGAAGTGTTCGAGCAGGAAATAATCTGCAGAGATACATGTGCAGCAATTCAACTGCTGCTGCTCTCCCAGGCTGCCGCTGCTGCAGTTCGGTGGGTGAGAGAAGCCGCGCTGCTCACAGAAGATGCTTTCTTGGCGTGTCCGAACCGCCCGGCATGGCAGCAGAGCCCCGGCTGTCTGAGCTGGGGTAAATGTCTCCATCCAAGAGGAATTATTTTGACTTGCTGGCTCTGTCGGCTCCCTGAGGTAGGTGCTGCTGCCTGTGCAATATGCCGTGAGCTCTGTCGGGGGGATACAGTCCTCTCCTCAGCCTGGGCTGTAAAATAATAAAAAAAAGAAATCTCTCGGTGGAAACGGGGTTTAATTTGCAGCCTAATGCCAGAGAGAAATACGTGTGTGTAGTTTTTGTGTGCGCCCCAGGGAGGAAACTGCAAAGGATACCCGAGCGATACCTTTCATGACTGGCAATAAAGTTGTTGCACTTAATTGGAACAAACTTGCCTTGGTCTCTGTGGAATGCACCTGGGAGCTTTTGCTGCTTCTTGGCATATGACCTTTTGAAGGGGTTGGCTGCAGTGTACAAGGTTATGCTTCGGTTCAGAAACAGGGACACAGTGCACTCTACAGGTCCCATTATTCTGCTCCCGTGGACGTGGGGAGGACGTGGAGGGAGAAAACGCTCCTGACAGGGAGGTGGGTTTTGGTTGTTTTTTGAGAAGTGAAATTACACTAAAAGAAAAAAAAGAGAGGTGTTCTTACATGAGGAAAGGGAATTTTAAGGTCCTAAGTGTTGATCTTGGTGTTTAGAAGTAAAGAAGGAAATCTGTTTTAGAAGCAGTCTGTGTATGAGTCTGGTTTTTGTGTTTTGCTTCCCCAGTTCTGTGGAGAGGAGTTCTGATCATCTGTGCTTTACCGCCTGCAACCTTTGCTTAAGGATGTTTTACACCTATACCTGGGAGAGAAAAACTGCCAGTGCCATCACATTTCCTTAGGCTTGTTTAGGAAGGTGTCTTCTTGGGAAATTCCTTACACAATCAGTAGCAGCTAATGTTGTTCCTTTCTCGCTGGTGGGCACACGGTTTTGGTTTGTCTTGAGACCTTCAGTGGGAGCTTTACTCTAAAGATTAAGCTGAAAGGGAAGTCTTCAAACAATTTCCCCTAGAAAAGCACAGCGTTGGGCATGGATACCTATTTGATTTGGTTCTCCTTGTCGACCTACATATGTATGTTTGCGTGTTGGCTCCTGAGCGCGTGAGTGCAGGCCCTGCCAAGCAAAGGTGGCTGTGCAGAGTAGGTAAGTGTTGCCTGGATTATGTGTCTGGATCACGTGGAAAGAGGTTTGTGCACGTTTCTGGTATTGCGGATCTATTGAGACAGCACAGCCAACAGTGCCATTGCTGTGTAACAGTTTCAGAAGTGTTTCTGTGGCATCCTGGTAGAACGAATGTGTCATTCGCAACTGCACTCTTCAGGAAAAAGAGCAGGATTGTCTTCTGCACTGTAAATCTTTTCAGTCACTTTTGTTTTCTTCAGTCAGGGCTTCCTGACTGGAATGTGTTGCTACCTGAGCGGTTTGGTCAGAGCATTTATTACTGCCTCCTCATTGTCCCCAGAGCTGTTGTGCTATGCTTGACTCAGCACTGACATTTCTCACAGGGAAGGCTGGAGAAGAATGCCTGGTTTTGTCTGTAATTTGGGCGCAAATGCAGGCAAGAACAAGTTTCCTTTTTGGCAAGAAAAGGACACTTCTGCATCCTCTTTTGGGATCCTGTAGAGGTGCTGCTCTGCAAGACCTCTGTGGAGGTGAAGCAGCAGAAGTGGGATCTGGTGGATTCGTTGCTGTGTATAAATCAAGAAGCCACAACCCCTGGCAGGGATGGAGGCTGCGATGATGCCCGAGGAGTATCTGCTCCTCTCTGTCCTGGGAAAGAAGATCCCTTCTTACTCACACACTAGGTAGATCTGGGCAGCAGTGCTCCATAGCAACACTTGTTTCTCCCAAGAGGAGAAAAATCTCCTGGCTTCACTCAGAGAGGTGAGAACACAAGTGTACAAACACCCAGTCGAGTCTCACCAGTGTAATACTGGTGTAAGGCCATCTGAATGACTTTTCTCTAGAAGAGCACTTAAAAAGGTGGTGAGCATTAAATAACCCAATTGTCTGTGCAGGAAATACTAGAAAAATTATATGGCAGTCATCCCATTTATTACTATATGCACACGGGCAGAATGGCAATTAGAACTGGCTGAATTAAAGTAGAATGCTTCTTGCAAACATGATTTCAAAATTCAAAATTAATTTGATGCTCGCCAGACAGCAACTATTCTGGTCATTTTTGTGTCCCTATTCCAGCAAGTGCATTTTTTAAAAAAATACTTTTGCGAAAACAGCAAAGTGTAGGACCCTATTCACGTGTGATGTGGTCTGAAAGAGGGGATGAGGATATGTGCCTTACAGCCACTCAGAAAATCAAACCGGTACATTTGAACTACTGATTATTTCTAAGCAGCCTTTCTGGTCAGTAATAAAGTTTTGCATTAAACTCTAATTATGTGGAAGTCGAGAGCTATTTGCTAGAGTTAATAATGGTAATTTTAAAAATTGTAATTTATTAAATGGGGGCTGGTCAGCATTGCGTGTCACGCACTGTACTGATACCTTCTTCTGCCTGAGAGTCACATAACTGCCCATCTCGTAGAGCAAGGGCAGGGCACTCTTGGCATCCCCCACAGGTGCTCTGCTGTGACATGGGGCTAAATTTGACATTCGTCTGGGCTCGGTGGTGACCTGGCAGCAGCAGTGCTGGGATCCCTGTGGGGTTTGCCTTTACGGAGACAAATGTCTGGCTTTATCCATCAGGTCCGGCACCTGGCAAGCCACACTGGGACAGCTGGCCAGTTGTGCACTGCTCGGCAGTCACAGGTGGTGCAGAGAATGGGTGACAGACAGATGCAAAGGGAATAAATTGAATCTTCAAGAACTATTTGCCAGGGAGTGATTTTCCTGGTTTCGGTGGGGAGGTAAGCAAAGGCCAGTCATTAGGTGCCTGCAGTCTTTCAGTGACCATTGAGTTCTTACGCTTTGGATTCTGCTTGTAAACTAGCTACAGGTGATCAAAGCCTGTGGTCCAGAAACTGTTGAGTCAGAGATGCAACTGTGCCTTTCAGTTAGTGCTTGGAGTATCTTTAGGAGACTCTGTTACTGCATTTAAAATCTATCTGGCTTTGTACCACTTATAAAATGCATTCACAGTAGGTGGTGGCATCAGCCTCCTCCTAGTGAATGCAGATATTTATGCGAAAGGTTTTTTCACTTTGCTGCATTCAGATGATGACTGGAGATACCGTTCTTGTTAGATAAAAAACTGAGTCTGACTTCAGAGGTGAATTCAAAGAGCAATTTCTATTTAATATATATATAGCAACAAATAGGAACAAAGCTGCTTAAAGATTACTTTAATGATGAATCATTATATGGCTCTCACCGGTCTGAAAAGCAATAAAAGTCAAAATGGAGTGCTAGGTTTTAGTTGCTTAGAAAATGCATAGAAAGGGACCTGTATTGTAGAGAGGGTTTTATACCACATCAAAGTAAAAATGTTTTGAGGTGCAAAAGTATCAAGTGACTTTCCACCCCAAAGATAAGAGGCAGCTGCTACCTATTGTTTGTTGTTCTAGGAGGTTATTTTCTCTGGTTAGTCACTTTTAATTTATTTTTTTTTTAAAACCCTGACTGATTTCTTCCCCCCCC